AAATTTTGATCGCGTCGGAAATCGAACAAGGTTGTGGTATTTCTTTTCATGTCTCTCTCTTGTGTAGATTTTGATTTTGACGACAAATATAAAACAGTTGATATTTTCTAGAATCTGGTTCTGTTTTCTAGAAACCAAAGTCGAAAAAGCAGAATTCGAACCGAATTATAAAACCGAACCGCGTATGCCTAATGCAGCAATGCTTATTGGCTATTCATTTGTTTAGCTGATTAATTAATTATTGTCGCAAATCACAAATCAAATTTCAGGGTTAGGTAGATTTATCTTTATCTTTTTTTGTTTTTGTTTTTCGAAAACTTGGATTACACGGATTTAACCAACAACCACAACCACAACCGTAAATGGAAAAAGCAGAGCCTGTCTTCAATCCTGATACGGAAACGCAAACGACAATCCTTTGTGCAAAAGCACTTTTTCTTTGTTCTTGTTGAATGCTGAGTAATCTGTGATCTTTGAGACGCATACGCAAACTACGACGATCCATCTCACAAACCATACGCAAAAGCCCTTTAAGTGTACTTGGTGAGCAAGGCTTCTCCTATTATAAATACCGAGCTTTCGATTTTGTTGGTTTTACCCAAGATCCTTTCTCTAAATCTTTACTTAACAAAATGATGAATTCTGGCAACAACAACAACTCTGGTCCTAGTAATGTGCATCCAACACAAGCTCAAGTAATGTTTGTTCTCTTTCTACATTAACATACCGTCTTTGCGCTAACTGTTTCATCTTTCGAACGCTGCAGCTAATGCTGGAGATAATGCACTGTATGAAGCTGAGCTTGCTGGTAAGTCGTCTTTGACTCAAGGTTTTTAATTGGTTCTGTACATGTTAAAACAGAGAACTTCTTCTTCCCGTCTAACATTCTGCTTTCCTTACAGCTTTCTACCAAGATCTCGAACCGCTGGCTGGGACTGGGACTCTTCGTAAGTCATTTTGTCTCTAGTCTCCGACAAGTATTATTCACTAAATATCTTACTCTTGGCTTAATTGGTTCAGCTATCCTTGCACCTAATGTTGTCGAAGATGAGGAGCAAGAAGCCTTTCACCCACTCGGAGTCAGCAATCCGTTACTCGACGTCTCCAGTACAGGTAGCGCTCAATGAATGATTTTGTTATGACATGGCTATTTGTTTTGCAGAGTATCTTTGCTCGTTGGTTAATGATTCGCTTTGGTTTTCCAATACAAACCTCCTCACTCAATTACCCTTAAGAATGACATTCCTCGTCGTCCGGAACCACCAGTTCTCTTCATGGTCGAATCTAGTATCCTACTTGAACCAGAAGATGGCTACGCTTGGCGATCTTTGAGACCCAATATGCTCAGCGTAACTAACTAATTATTTATTTCCAGAATACAATTAAATTAATTATGCTTGAAATGTTGTTTGTCTAACAAATCTATATGCAGACTGATGGAGTCCCAAACATCAGGATTCTGTCTTCGCATGAAAATGTGGCCGACGAGAGTTTAAGAGTGCACCGCAAGATTTATTCGCTGATCGGTCAAGACAATTTGTGTCTGGTGCACTACAAGCGTTTGATAAATTCCTATAAACAAGCATTTGGTAACTAACTATGTATCAGACGACGTATAATAAAGAATGTGTATTTATTTCGCAGAAGTTGGATGCGCGCACTAGACTCCGTTATTGACCATGTCATAACAAAAGAATAATCAGGAGGAGGGATTATTAATATTTGGTACTGAATAATTGAAAAATGTTGCCCTTCAATATCTTCATATATATAAATATAAACTGTTGGTCTTTAATATAAAACGCTGTAATCATTCTCCTCCAATATATGATGAAACATATCAACTCTTTGGATATCAAATTTGAATTATCACGAATAATCTCCAGTAGCCAAACACCTTAAAAACCCTAATTCCAAATCCAGCAACCAAATTTCATGTAGCTTCGCATTAACGAGCAACTTAGAACCTACAAAGAATCAGTCGGATCCAATTGAAAAATTCAACTTCTTTTTTACCCATCCAACCTTAGTTCAAAGAAATCCAACTCCGCATGACTGATTGATGCCAACTAAATAGCCGTAGAAAATTTAGCAATTTCAACAAGTCCAACGATCTAGAGCCCACCCCACTTCGCATATCAGACAATAATATCCTCTTGAGAATGATTTCGACAAGGAAAACAAAAGCTTTGAAAGTTGAGATCAAAGTGCGTATTTGTTGTTCGAACCAACAAAAGAGAGAAGAGAAGTATGAAGAAGCGATGGGTAATTCTTTCGAAACAACGAAGAGTAACAAGATTTGATTATACAATTAGTGAAAATGTTAAACATTGCAATTAGTGAAAACTGAAAAAGGCATGTCCCATAGTAGTGAAGAAAAAAAAGTGTTATGCCTTGACATGAAATTTTTAATGAGCATGACCAATGACAATACGAATAAAAAATAAAAGAAATTGTCAAGTTAAAGATTACCCACGGCCGACTCTGGGTCACTTGAGCCATATTCTGGTTCATCATTCGGGTCCGGTGTTAAACATTGCATGTCCCATATTCGTTTGAATGAGGACGAGTGATTTTAGAATGATCAATTTGTCCAACGTACTAGTACCCAAATTTTTAGTTGAGTTTTTAAATCTCTTACCAATTTCTCTAAAGAATAAATAGGATTTTTTCCTAGGAGATATATATCACATCAATATTGTTTTAATCGTTGATGAAATTCAAAATTTTCTTCGAATTTTGGAAATGCTACACTAAAACATATATCGATGTTGTCAAGTAGAGATTCTTAGAAGATATGGTGCCACACAAAATACGTTATATGAAACTAAGAATCGGTTGTGTTTTGTGACGCAGTTTCCAACCGTCACCTATATATAACTTAAAATGTAGTCACCTATATTGAGTGAGTGATGCATGTAGTATGCTGGGTATGTTGAGTGGATGCATGTTGAGTACGAATGATGAGGCATTGTGAATGCATGATAGTATTTTGTGTGTTAGCTTGCATGCATGGATGTGAGCGAGAAGAATCTCGTTGCATGTTGCTTCTCTAGACCGTGTACGATGTATTGGTTTTGATATGATAGACCGTGCGACCCGTTAACATTTGGTTGATGAGCAGCTGACTGATTAGCCCATTAAGTGGATGGCAATCTGGTCGAGGCATGAAAAGGTATTGTTTGTTGCATGGGCAGTGGACGATAAGTTGACTGAGTGATAGGAGCGGATGTTGTGAATGAGATATTATTGTGTGTTATGTTTTAGGTTAAGTATGTTTGTGTGTATTGATTTGTCAAACTGTATGATGTAGAATGTGAGGTCCATGTGTCCACCCTTAATGAGTAGACCATTTACTCGCTCACCGCC